TTCTTTTTTTTTTTTCATTAGAACATTTAAATATCTTTGACTGTTAATATTACATTAATTTTATATTTCGTAGAAAAAGAAAATATTTTCTAAAGAAGGAAGGAAAATTTAGGATTTTCTGATTGTTTCGCAAACTGTTCAACACCGTTTCATCGTATACTTTCTTTCTCTCTCTCTCTCTCTCTCTCTCTCTCTCTCTCTTTTTCTTTATCTCCTTCACTGTGTGTATTTTTCTTTGCCAGAGCTTACGTATCATTAACGATAAAGGAAGGATCTTAAGTACACAAACTCGTTCACGTTATACCAATCTTCTCCACCTGCGTATAATGGCCGATAGTAATGTCATCCAAATACACAATACGTTTTCCATACATAACTATCTCTTTCTAATCTATTCAAACATGAATATTTTATGCGAGAAGATATATATATATGTATATATATATATTTAAAACTTTCGGCACGATCAAAGAGAGTTCTTCTATTTTTTTTCTCTCTCTCTCTCTCTTTTTTAGATCAAATATCAAAGGATGAAAACAATGTTAAGGTTAGATTAACTTACGTTAACTTACGTTAACTTACGTTAACTTACGTTACGCGTTAAACCCTTTAAAGCTTTTTTCTTTTGTTCTTTTCAATTTCTTTTTTTATTTTTTACGAGCTTTTCGTAAACTCTCTCTCCCTTCCTGCCACCCTCTTTTTCTCTCTATCTCTTTATTTTTTCTTATTCTTGCTTCCTAATAAGAGAAGACTCGAAAGTGGAGAACTATAGTCTTTCTCTCTCTCTCTCTCTCTCTCTCTCTCTCTCTCTCTCTCTCTCTCTTTTTCTTGGCGTCGCTCGGAATTCGATTACCATCCAGAGAAGTAGAGATTTATGCCCCCGAACGAAGAAGTCCGTTTGCCTGTCCAATCTTTCCCTATATATACATATATACATATATACATACAAACATACATATATATATATCTGCATTTATGTACGTAGGTACGTACGTATCTCTTTATATACATATACATATATATATATATATATATATATATATATATATATATGTATATATTTTGTTTGTATGCAAGGTTGGGTTGTGATGGGACGAAGTGAGATGTATAAGGGGTGGGGGGGGAGGGGAGGGATGGAGGGGTTGGGAAAGAGAAAGAGGAAGGAGGGCAGAGTTGTGTGAAAAGATATGTTTGTGCGTGTGCATATGTTTGTGTGTGTTGTGTTGTTAAGTTTGTTGGTTGTTGTTGTTGTTGTTGTTGTTGTTGTTGTTGTTGTTGTTGTTGTTGTTGTTGTTGTTGTTGTTGTCGTCGTGTTGTGGTGGTACACGTTGAGAACTGTATACGTGTGCTGCCGACGCGAACTTTTAAAGTCGACGGCTAGTTTAGCCCGCAGTCTGGCCAGACAATCGTAAAAACCGAACGATGCCAGCGCGAATTATAGGCCACGTCCGAGAGACGCCTTGCATGCCTCCGGATTGGATATAGAAGAGAAAGAAAGTGAGATGGAGATTGGTCAGAGAGAGAGAGAGAGAGAGGGAGAGAGAGAGAGAGAGAGAGGGAGAGAGAGAGGGAGAGAGAGAGAAAGTTAGAATTGGATAACACGTCGAGATAAACAATATTTACGAATTATCAATGTGTCAAAAGGATGGACGAATGTGAGACGTTACGGTGCCGCAAAATCTCTTTTATTTTCTTTTTCTTTTTTTTTTTCTCTCTCTTTCCCTTTTTTACATCTCCTTTCTTTTCCCCCCTTTTTGCTTTGTCTTCTTTCGATTCCTTTTTTTTTTTCTTTTTTTTTTTTCTTTTTTTTGTTTTCTTTTCCCTTCTCTTTCTTTTGTTTTGTTTGCTTTTTTGATTTTTTTTTGTGTTTCTTTTTTCTTCTTTTATTTCTTTTTTCTTTCCTCCTTTTTGACTCTCCCTACTTACTTTCGATCCTTCGCGCTATTCTCTTTTCCATTCACTGCTCTTTCCACTCCTCTCTGTCTCTTTCTATGTCGTTTACTTTCTTTTTTCTCCTTTTTTTTCTTTTCTTTCGAAAAGAAAATAAATTAAATAATTTCATTTGCTCTTTGTTATCGAACAAATTTCTAATCAATATTTATATTCAATTAAGATTTACTACAATTCAAATATTGCATCTTGTATATATATATATATATATATATATATATATATATATATATATATAGAATTTTAGAATGAATAAATATTATAGAAATCAATGAATTATAAAATTGGGAGAAATTTAATCTCATAACTGCAAGAGAAATGAGGAAATTTTTTTTTTTTCTTTTTTTTTTTCAAAAAGAAAGTAAAAACATAATTTCATTTGCTCATTGTTATCGAACAAATTTTTCATCGATATTTATATTCAATTAAGTTTTACTATAATTCAAATATTTCACCCTATATATATATATATATATATATACAATTTTAGAATGAATACATATTATAAAAATCAATAAATTGAGAGAAAAATAATTTCTTATCTGCAAGAGAAATGAGAAAATGGTTTTTTTTTTTTCAATTTTTAAAAGAGATAATAAAACCATAATTTCATTTGTTCATTCTTATCGAACAAATTTTTAATCAATATTTATTCCCAATTAAGATTTACTATAATTCAAATATTCCAACCTATATACATATATATATATATATTTAATTGATTATAATATAATTATATATAATTAAATATTAATTAATTATAATATAATTATATATATATAATTTTATAATGAATAAATATTATAGAAATCAATAAATTAAAATTCATATAATAATAAATTGACTAAATACGAAATCAAGGATGATTTATTTCTCGTCTAATTCTCTCTCTCTCTATCTCTATCTCTATCTCTATCTCATTCTAATATTTTTCACTTTTAGAGACAGAACCCAATGACGATTCTAAATAGGGATTCGAGGATCGACCTACCAAGTCAAAGACGACGTATTCTCGAAGATGAAAAAGCAAAAGAAAATTGCTCGACGAAAGAGATTTAACATGGCGAGAACGGTTCTTCAATCCTACGAAAACGTAATAAAGAGAGAGAGAGAGAGACAAAGAGAGAGAGAGAGAGAGACAGAGACAGAGAGACAGAGAAAGAGAGAGAAAGTGAATGAGGAGTTGGAGGGGTAGAAATAGAAGGAAGACGTCAAAAAAGGGGAGACGACGATGTAGGGATGAAAAAGAGAAAGATAGAAAGGAAGAGAGAGAGAGAGAGAGAGAGAGAGAACGATGGTTTCTAATTCGAATTAAAAGAAGACTATCTCTCTCTCTCTCTCTCTCTCTCTCTCTCTCTCTCTCTCTCTCTCTCTCTCTCTCTCTCTCTTTCTCTTTCTCTATCTCTATATATCTCTATCTCTTTCCCTTAGGTACATATGCTCGCGAAAATAACTTCTCAACTCTCGTGGTGGGCGACGAGAACGTCTCGAGACTCGATGGCACATCCATCATTCCTCTAACCGGTCATAGGAACTTTGAATGTCTTGTAAAAGAAGGAAAGAGATAGATAGATAGATAGATATAGAGATACAGAGAGAAAGAGAGAGAGAGAGAGAGAGAGAGATTGGTGGCGATCGAATCGATTATACCGTCCACCTCGTTTCACGCCTCGTATATGTATGTAACGTATGTGTATCTATATATATATATATATATATATATATATATATATATATATATGTATTTATTGTATGTATTATATATGTATATATATATATATATGCAGACTATAACTTGAGAAAAAGTTAGAAAAACCTGTAAGAGAATCCGTCCAAATCCGATTACACGGTACGTTTGTCACCGTCCGTTTTAGTCTGCCTTTGTATGCATATATATATATATATATATATATATATATATATATATATGTATGTATGCATATGTATGTGTAAGTGTGTTAATGTGTGTGTGTGTGTGTGTATGCGAGAGAAAGATAAAGGGGGGAATGTTAAATGGGAATTCGTTTTTACCGTTTTATTCCCGTATCGTCCTATATCTTCATAATTTTCGCATTTAACGTAAGAATAAAATAACAATGATTTATTATGTGTTCCAATTAATTTGTATATATTTAAATTAATCCGTTCGATCGTTACGACATTTTTATTTCACTCTCTCTCTCTCTCTCTCTCTCTCTCTCTCTCTCTATCTATCTCTCTATCTCTTTCTCTCATTATCGAATTTATCATCGACTTAACAACGGAGAAAATTTTTTTTCTTCTTTATTTTTTTTTCTTTTCTTTTCATATTTCTTCATTCGTTCGTTCTTTTTCTTTCTCTGTTTTTGGTTTTTTCTTTCCTTTTCCTTGTTTTTTCTTTTTTCTTCTTTTTTTTCTCTTTTCTTTTTTTTCCCAAATTGTCAATCAATTATATCACTCTTTCCTTTCCTTTTTTCCTTTTTCTCATTTCCTTTTCTTTTTTATTTGTTTTCTTTTCTTTGTCGCTTATTTCTCTTTTTTTTTTTTCTTCTTCTTCTTTTCTCTTCATTGTCGTTCGTTATTAAGAAGAAGATAAATGAGAAAATGTTCACGCGAATACTAAATATGCACTTTTTTTTATTGCAATGGATTTAAACAAACGAATCGTTCGCGAATAATTCCAAACGTTCTAATCGCTATTAACGATTCAGTCATCGTTAATCTCGAAATTGTGAGAATAGAAAAGGAGGAAAAGTAATTGTACAAAAAAAAAAGAAAAAAAAAAGATAAAAAGAAAAAGAAAGAAAGAAGGAAAGAAGAAAAAAACGAGAAGAGGAAAGAAACATCGAAGATCTTATGCCATTGATCGGCATACTATTCGTAAGAATATTTAGAAAAAAAGAAAAACAAAAAAAACAGAAAAAAGAAACAAAAAACAAGATTTCAAAACGAATTCGTCAATCGAATTTTAACGCAACGAGAGAGACAGAGAGAGAGAGAGAGACAGAGAGAGAGAGAGAGAGAGAGAGAGAGAGAGAGAGAGACGTGCATATATTTAAGCGAACCTTTAAATATTCGTAGAATTTGTGTTTCGTAAAATTTGCAAAAAAAATAAAGAACCTAGAAAGAAAAAACAAAAGAAAGAAAAAGAAGAAGAAAGAAAGAAAGAAAGAAAGAAAGAAAGAAAGAAAGAAAGAAAGAAAGAAGGATTCGTCCATCTTATTATCGTGGAGAATCGATTGAAGGTAGAAAAAGAAATAGAAAAAGATAAGAAAAAAGAAAAGAAAAGGAAAAAAAAAAGGAAAAAAAAAGGAAAAGAAAAGGAAAAAAAAAAGGAAAAGAAAAGAAATGCTCGTAAGCGTAAAATAAAATTAATGAAGATCGTTAGAAGCGGAGGAGGGAAGAGAAAAAAAAAAGAAAAGAGAAAGAAAAAAAAATTAAAAAAATAATAAAAGGGTATAATATAGTCAATCGTTAAATTGAAATTGGATCGACTCCGACGTAGGCACGCCCTTTTGCGAAACCAAAACAAAAAAAAAAGAGAAGACAGAAAAAAAAGAGAAAAAAAAAAGAAAAGAGAGAGAAAGAGAGAAAGAAAAGAAAGAAAACGGAAAGAAAAGGAAAGAATGGAACATCGGATAAGAGAGGAGAAATTCTACGGTCTACTTACTGAGTGCGAAGAGTAAATGCGGCGGAAGTTATGCTAGAAGGCAGGTGGAGACCCTTGATGATTTCCTGCCAAAGCTTTTTGTTTATAACGTCGACCAGACCGCCACGAGCAATCACAAGATTATATAGTTCGTAAAGATCCAATACTGATTTTGCCATAATCGGTAATCGATTGATCGGTGTTCCTGAAACAAAACAAAAGAAAATAAAACAATACAATTAAACAGAGATTAAAACACGTTTATTATCTTATCTCGTTAGATTAGATAAAAAGGATAAATGAATGAACAATTTTGTCTCTGTGTTAATTTTACCCCCGCATCATCCCCCCCCCCGCCCTTTCTTTTTTTTTCTTTCTTTTACAAATGAAAGAAGAAGAATTAAAAGTAAAAGAAATCGAAGATAAGTGGGATAGAAAATTTCTTTCGTAATTAAAAAAAAAAAGAAAAAAAAAAAAAAAAAGAAAAAAAATTGTATCATCGTTCTTGTCGTTGTTAATAAAAAGGGGGAAACAAAAAAAAAAAAAATAAATAAATAAAGAAATGAAAAAATATATAAAAACTAAATTTTCATTAAATACTCTTTTGAAAAAGAAACAAAGATATGTTTAATCACTGAACTTAAAGAAAATAAGAGATTCTTTCTTAATTGAAAACAAAAAAAAGAAAAAAAACAACAAAAAATATGAAACTATCGTTTTTACTTATCGTTACTAAAGCACGAACTTGAGATATGTACGTTTCTATTGGCTTTTCTTTCGAGGAAAAAAAAAGAAAAAAAAATAAAAAAGAAATAAAAAGAGTTATAAAAAATTGATAACCATCATTACTAATGCTTTTAATTTCAATTAGGAAAAACTAAACTTTTATTGGCTTCTTCTTTTTTTCTTTTTCCTTTTCTTTACTTTTGTTATCTTTTCGTTTGGTCAAAAAAGATCGAACGAAAGTCATTAAAATACTCATCGTCATTTTTTTTTAAAAAGAACTTAGAAAGGAAAGAGGACAAAAAGAAAAAAAATCAGAAATAAAAAAAAAAAAGAAGGAAAAAATAAATAAATCGTCGGATTATTAATTCGAATTCTTTAATTCGATTAATTCTATTTATTAATTCGCTGTTAAGCGAATTCGAAAGTTTCGCTCGTGAGAGAAACGTATGCGAAAACGAAGACGAAGCAAAAAAAAGAAAAAGATACAACAAAAATCCAAAATAAAAAAAAAAAAAAAAAAAGAAAAAAGAAAGAAAGAAAGAAAGAAAGATAGAAAGAAAAATGGCGAACAAAGTGGGAAAATGAGAAAAAGGAAGGGGGGTAAAAAAAAAAAAGAAAAAAACAAGATGAAGAAAAAGGAGAAAAGAAAAATAGTGGAAAAAGAACGGTGGAAAAAGAGCGGGGGGGGGGGGAAACCAGAGGAAGAGAAAAAAAGAAAAAGAGGAAAAAAAAATGAACAGGATTAATTAACAAAAAAAGAAAAAAAAGAAAAAAAAGAAAGAAAGAAAGAAAGAAAAAAAAGGCTATCATCTAAAAATAACTAAAACCCGAATATAAAGTTTTCTCAAACTTTCAATCGGACAGACAAACGAGATTGTATAAACGTACTACTTAAGTATCTGTAGAAAGAGATGGAAATTCAGGAAGAATGTATAATTTACACGAAATATGAGAGCGAGGAAGATCGAACGAACGAACGAACGAACGAACGAACGAGTAAGAGAGAGAGAGAGAGAGAGAGAGAGAGAGAGAGAGAGAGAGAGAGAGAGAGAGAATTTCTTTAAAAAGAGGGGAGGACCAAAGTCGTCCTTATTCGTCGCGTGATGAACGACGGCAAATTCGTCGATGGTTTACGTACGAGGCAGCGCGCAAACCGCTGAATTTTACGAGGTTTGCCCAGGGGCTGCAAAGGGGTAGGAAGAGGAGGAAAAGGAAGAGGAGGAGGACGAGAGGAGGGCGTTAACAAGAGTAGTAACGAATTCGCGAGCATCACGCGAACGGCACGCTTTTACGAGCCTCTTTGCGAACATCACAGGTGGTATGACAAAACGATGAAAAAGAAAAAGAGAGAGATAGATATATATGTATGTATATATGTATGTATGTGTGTACGTATGTATACAAGGGGTGAAATATTTCCTAAGCCAACTAACTGAAACGATTAATTCGAATTAGTACGAATTATTTATTCATTTATTTAATTAATTAATTAATTTATTTATTTATTTATTTTCTTTTTATTTATTTTCTTTCTTCCTATCGAAAAAAAAAAAAAAGAAAATTTATTTCGGTAGAGAACGTACGCGATCTATGATACGATATAATATATACATATATATATATATATATATATATATATATATATATATATATATATATAATGTTATACATCGAATGTGTTATTATATATATATATATATATATATATACATAATATATGTATATATAATATGGTGTATATAATTTTTTTTTTTTTTTTTTAATTATCATCACTTAGTCATTATTTATTGTCACACCACAGATAGACATTAATTGTTGTTCAAGATTGTTTATTTTCCTTTTTCTTTGCTTTTCTTTTTTTTTTTTTTTTTTTTCTTTTCGATCTCTCGTCTCTCATCCTTTTTTTTCTTCTTCTTGCATGAATTTTTTTTTCGATAACGACAAAACGAGAAGAAATCCTATTGAGGATGAAAAGAAATTTATTGATCGAAACGTTTAAAAGGAATAAGAAAAAAGAGAACGAGGAAACTTAAGAAAAGAAAAGTGGGGGGGGAGGGGAAAAAACAAACAAATAGATTAGAAATTGTATATTAGAAAATGAATGTGTTTATCGAATGTATTTCTAAAAGGCAAAAAAAGAAAAAGGAGAAAAAATGAATGGAAGGAAAGAAAAGAAAAGAAAAGAAAAGAAAGAGAAAAGATGGGAAAGAAGAATGACAGGAATTTTAGGAAGGGAGTTGAAGGATTGAGGGTTGAATTAATCGAACGAATTCGTAAAAAGAAGAAGAAGAAGAAGAAGAAAAAGAAGAAAAACCGTCGTCGGTTTGCTGATTTAAATTTGTAGAAATTCATCGGTATTGAGAATTCGTCGTGCGCCTATAGAATCAAGTATGGTAGTCTTTCGAGCCATCGAATTTTATGAGGTTGTCCGAGGGCCGAGTTAACGGGGTGTTAACAAGAGCATTGCTCGCGACTATCGTGAGCACCGTACCACTCGAACCGCGTAAACGTAAACTCGCTCGTAAACGGTTAGGGCAAGCGAGTAGAGTTAACGCTTCGCGTCGGTGTAATCTGACAGTAGTAATAGCAACAGCAACGGCAATGGCAACAGCAATAGTAACAGCAACAGTAACAGCAACACCAGCGCAACAACATCAGTAGTGTCAGTAACAGTAACAGTAACAGCAACAGCAACAGCAACGGCAATAGCAACAGCAAGCAACGTTTGCCGTGGTGTAAATAAACGAGTAAACGAGATGGGTAATACCAGTGGCCACTGTGATGGTGGTGGTGGTGATGGTTGTGATGGTTGTGATGGTTGTGATGGTTGATAATAGTGTTAGTGTTCTCTATGGTGCTATAGTACTAGTAATTCTGATGGTGGTGGTTTTTAGCCATTTCACTCGATTTCTTATCTATCCGATATTGTTTCATTTTTTCTGTTTTTTCTTTTTTTTTTTTTTCTTTTTTGTTCTCTTTTTTTTTTCTTCTTTTCTTCATTTTCGCACTTCTTTTTCTTCGTTTTTCTCTTTCGAATGATTTCCTTCATTCGAAATGATTTTTTTTTTTTTTTTTTTTTTATAATAACCCTCATAAATTATGACGATTCACTCGAATGGGATATTTATATTTCATGTATATTATTTTAAACGAATCGAATTTCTTCATTATTTAATTATGTCAATTTTATTTTCCCTTTTTTTTCTATTTTCTTTTTTTTCTTTTTCTTTTTCTTTTTCTTTCTTGTTGTATTTTCTTCCTTCATTTCAATCAATTTTCTACATTATTATAAGAATCGTATGAATTAAAAATTAAATGTTTGACATTTGCTCTTCTTCTTCTTTTTTTTTTTTCTTTTTGTAATTTTCTTACACTTCAATTCCGTTCGAATTAAAAGTTTTCTAAGATTATTATTAGATTTGAAATACGAACTATGTATTATTATATTTTAGATGTGAAATAATACAAAGTTCTAATTTCTTTTAATCGCAAGTATTAATCGACGATATTTATTCGTTCGAATAATTCGATTCATCGTTCATTTAGATTAATACAATTATTGAATTACGATAATTCGATAATTTCATTCAGATGCATACCAACTTGCATCTAATCAACGTTATCTCAATGCATATTTAAACGGATTAGTAATCTAATCTCTAGAAATTTTTATTCTTTTTTTTTCTTTTTTTTCTTTTTTTTCCTTTTTTTTTTTTTTTTTTTCTTAAATCAATATGGCCGTATACACGATTACAACTCCTCACACTTCGAAAAATTTGATTCTCGTTAATTAGATCAATTCAATTTCAATTTTATACGATTTAAGTGTATAAATCTTTGAAATTACATTCAATTTAATTTACACCTAATTACCCACGTATACTTATATATATATATATATGTATATATACATAGATACATATGTATCATAATTTTTTTAAAATCAACCATGGCGTACGATAAGACCTAAACATTTATAAAAGGTGATTTCATTAAAATCTATCGATCAGAAATATAATGTAAGAATTAGATTGAAAATTCATCAAAAAGAAAAAAAAAACAAAAGAAAAAAAAAATCAATCATAGTTATACCTAACTATATTTTCATGATTTTCTATTCTAATTTTTTACGATCACATTCAAAAGAGAAAAAAAAGAGAGAGAGAGAGAAAGAGAGAGAGAGAGAGAGAGAGAGAGAGTACCGTCGGTGCACTGATGGCGTATCGCAGGATCGTTTATCCGCCATCGAGGAGGATGAAGGGTGGAGAAAGAGAAAGAGAGAAAGACAGAAAGAGAGAGAGAGATAGAGATAGCGAGAGAGAGAGAGAGAGAGACAGAGAGAGAGAGAGAGAAAGAGAGAGAATTGCCGCCATATTCTTGCGAGAGGCAATAAAACGTGTCCGCGAGGTAGGGGAACCAGCAATTTCGGGCTATCGAGCGTAGTCCCTCCGGCTTTATTATTGGCCCTACAATTATCGT